CTTCCCCCGCTTCCCCCCCTTCCCCCCCCGCACCTTGAAATTCCACAGGGTCTTCAATGTGGCTTTGAGGGTGCCCAGCACGGTGAGTATGTTCTCGTCCCTCAGCGCCGCCTTCTCCGCCTGCAGCTGCTCGGGGCTGGGCCGCTCGTCATCGCCCACACGGAACTGCAGACAGTCGGGGGCAAGACATACACACAGGATAGATAAGACATACGGGCATACAAACCGACAGATAGACAGAAATACAGACACACCGTGGCACAGGCATGATGCGTCTTAAGCTCTGTGGCGTTAGCACATGTGGTGGTTGCGGTGGTTGTGGTGGTTGTGGTGGTTGTGGTGGTTGGCAATACAAGGTTATTCTTAAGTCTCACCTACCTTGGCGCGCATCAGGTATATGAAATATGCGGCACACGAACGGTATTGGGGGTATTGGGGCTGTTGGGGGCCTAGATGGTTAACGTTATACAGGGGGGATGTTGTTATGTTGTCGGATCAGAGCTCCGCAACCCCCCCCCCTTCGTTCCACCCCACTACCCACCCCACTACTACCCCAGCGCGTCCGACCCCCCACACAACCCCCCACCTTCATCTGCACCACCATCTCTCGCACGGCGTCCTCCACCACCTCAATGCCCTGCAGCTTCTCCAGCAGCCCCCTCCGCTCCGCAAGCACTCGCGCCACGTCCCCCTCCACCTTGGACAGCTCGGCCGCGTGCGCGCTCTCCGCGCGACTGGAGGCCGCCAGGGCCAGACCCAGCTCGCTCTCAAGCATGGAGGCCCTGGAGGGCGCAGTGCATGCAGTGCAGTGAGGGAGACCACCGCACACAGCACACAGCACACAGCACACAGCACACAGCACCCCCCACCCGGTGCAATGGGGTACGGCGGACCCCGCCCGGGCAGGCAGGCACATTCGGTTGCTACTTTCGGAACCCAGACGGGACCCCCTTCCTCCTGCGCGCGCTTATATACCTGCGCTGCTCGGACTCGAGCTGGCTGGTCAGCTGCATGATTTGGCTATCACGCAGCTCAAGAAGGCTGTCATAATGGCGGATGAGCGTCTCCAGGTCGTCGCCTTGGGGTCCGCCGAGCTTAATGTTGGGAGGCGCGTAATGGCTGATGTCGCCGGAGGTCCGCGTGCGATGCGGCGAGTAGGCCCCCGGCGCCCCCACGCGCGCGATGTTCGTCCGCGCGTTGGCCATTTAGCGAGGGATGATAGCACCTACGATTTTACGAGTACCGACGTTCGAAGGTAGGCCGGAGCTTTAGTGTCGGGTCGAGCAGGTTCTACGTTTCATCATCATGTCTGATTAAATAAGTTCACAGTTTAGCCTTGGTTGCTATGTATCTTATTGTGAGTTTTGTGGCCTATCCTGTGTACTGATTGGCGGAAGTTACAGTGCTCGAAAAGCCTAAGCGGAATTCCGATGGATACATAGTTCGATTGAATTATGCCAGCTAGATGCCAGTAACGCCACGGCTACCTGTCAGAACTGTACCGTTAGTCGGTTCCCGTTTGCACTGCTTTTTTGTGGTACATTCCTTACAGAAAACTTTTGCCTGACATTGGATTGTGCTTCTCTTGACGCAGTCGTCGTACTCCTAAATTGTTTGGCTATGCAACTGCTGTTGGCATCAAGGCAGACCAATGCAGTAGTTGGGTTTTGACTGCGGCATCCATGGACTTCTTCGCGTGGCTTACCCTGATAATTAAGACGTCATGGCTTTTTGGCTTGGCATTTGTGTTCCTACAGCTTTGGCGTACCTCCGGGCCTCGAAGCATTTCGCCGAAAGCTAACGTCGCAAAGCTGTCGTCTAGCGATCTAGACCAAAAAACACTCCAATCATCCGCTACCGCTGCGGCGGAAACAGTCGCGACACGGAATGAATGCTGCGCTAAAGGCGAAGGGACGCCGCCGGCTGGGACAGATTGTCGGGTAAGATGAAGTTCCTTTCCGCAGAGAAGCCGCCCTTCTATACCACTTCTCAGGGCGGTGGGGACCTGCGGCAGCCTGTTACACTTTTTCTTCTGAAGCACATGGGCCCTTCCTGAATCCCCTCCTCACGCAACTCCTGCATTGAATTCCGTAGCTTACATTCCGCGGGGGTTTTGTTACCTTGGATTTAAAACAGCCTTTCCTCCCCCTCCCTTCCGCCATCACCTCTATAACCCCCTCGCCGTCATCACCCGCCGTTGGGAAAGCTTCCCCGGGATGAACATCAGCACCCAGCATAACGCTGCTCTGACGTGGCTTGTACGGCGACATGAGCATAGGACTTGCTCCAGTAGAAATATAGCCCCTGAATCCGTTGGCGTTATAAAAGCAATCCCATCCCCCGGGTGGTGTCGACTCCGAGCAGACAGCACACAGACCCGCAACAAGGGAGCCGGTGGCGGCGGTGCCGCCGCCAGCACTCGCCCCGCCCGTGAGAGTCCTGTACGGCAGTACGAAGGGCACCTGCAAGCAGCTGGCGACGCAGCTGGCGGAGCGCCTCTCCGCGGTGTTGTCGCCTCTGCCAGCTGCGGTGACGGCGCCGGCCGCCGCCGCCGCCGGCGCCGCTGTAACGGCCTGCGGTAGCGCCACGTGTTGTCGGGGCGACGGCGCCGAGGCCTGCACTTCGCCGCTGCCGACGGCGCCGCCAGTGGTGGCGGCCGTGGACATCTCTTGTTACGACCCGGAGCAGCTCCTCTCGGAGCCCTCGGGCACCCTGTTGGTGGTGGTGATCAGCACGTACGAGGGGGGTTCACCCCCGGACAGCGCCAAGTTCTTCTGCAGGTGCCGCCGGGACCGCTTGGGGGGGGGACTGGGGGAAATGTGTTGGGTAGGTGCCTGGGGCGAGGGGGGGGGCCGGCGGCGGCGGCGGCGACGGGGAACTCTTCGCGTACGACACTCGTACACATGTATAAGCACGCACGTCCTTATGCATACTCGCCTAAGGCCTCCTGTTCGGTCTTCTCCACATCCCCACATCGCCGGATCGTTGATGAAACTCGTGGAAGCGCTTTTGGGATCCCTGACTCTTCCTCCCCTCTTCCTCCCCTCTTCCTCCCCTCTTCCTCCCCTCTTCCTCCCCTCTTCCTCCCCTCTCCCTCCCCTCTTCCTCCCCTCTCCCTCCCCTCTTCCTCCCCCTCGCCCATCGTGCGCCCGCCTTTCCCTTCGCCCTCACGCAATCTGTGGGCGTTGAGTTTGGAGTTGAGCTTTTGCTGTTTGCGTATCATGCCTTGCTCCCCCTCCGGCTGCCCCGGGGGCCCCTCCCTGTACCGCAGCTGGCTGGAGGAGGCCTCCAGCGACTTCCGCCTGGGCGCCGCCGCCCTGGCCCAGCTGCGGTTCGCCGTGTGGGGCTGCGGCAACTCCCTGTACGAGGAGCGGTTCAATGTCGTGGCCAGGAGGGTGAACCGGCAGCTGAGGGAGCTGGGGGCGAGGATGTTCGGACGCCTGGGTGCGTGGCAGTGGGAGTGGGGTGTTGCTGGGGGGGAGGAGAGGGGGGAAGGGGGAAGACGAACCACGAACGAGTGAAGCTGCTGCCAGGGCAAGAGAAGCAGAACTGACCAGTAGGCGGTTTTGAAGGAGGGAGGGGGGAAGGGAGAATGTGGGGGGGATGGGGGTGGGGGAAAACACGGGGTTTCGTGGTGGTGGGGGGTAGGGAGGGAGAGCCTCGATATACATACATACGTATGTACACGGGGTGCGTTGGCACATCGAGGCCCCCTGAGGGTTCCTCCGCCTAATTCTCCCCTTCCCTTCCCTTCCCTTTCATTTCAAACCCCCCAATAATTGGCAGCAGCTCCACTCGTTCGTGGTTCGTCTTTCCCCCAATAACTTTATAACTATGAAACAAGTCAAACTTTTACTTTAACTTTGCCATTAAGTAACCTTAGAACTTTAGCTTCAATGTTTTGCTCACGCTTTTTCCTTCTCCTTTGCCGGACGTTCCGTTTGGACTTCCGTACTTCCATCCCAAACCGTCATAAATCCTCCCGGACTTCTGACGCCGGCAGTTCATTTCTGATTTCCATGTATGTGATCTTTCCCCTCCCCTTCGCCTCCCCTCCTGATATCCCCCCCCCCCACTTCCCCCTCCCGCCCCCCTACCTGACACGCGCACATACACATACACATACACACACGCACACGCACTTAGGTCTGGGTGACGAGGACGTCACCGCCGGCGGCGGGGACCTCTCCCTGCAGTTCGCCGCGTGGTGCGAGGAGCTGGTGGCGAGCGAGGCCACCTGGCGGGGGCACGGACAGCAGCAGCAGCAGGGGGGTGGACCGGGTGCGGCGGGGGATGCAGCACAGGGTCAGGAGGAGCAGGAGGAAGAGGAGGAGGAAGAAGAGGAAGAGGAGGAGGAGGAGGAGGAGGAGGGTGCTGGTTCGGAGGTGAGGTGGGGAGGGGTGTATGGGGACCCTGGCGCCCCAGGGGAGCCAGCCATGGATGTGTGTGTGTGTTTGTGTTTGTGTTTGTGGTGATTGTGGTGGTGGTTGTGATGCGTCATTAGCGGGTCGGACCCTAGTCCTTCGGCCCAGGAGGGCCTTGCGCCGTGGCTGTGTGGGTTGTAACCAGCCAACAAGTGTGCCCTCCGCCTCCTCCCCTCCACACACATAACGACCGTCCTCATCACCACCATTATTTCCACCCCACCCGCACCGCCAGCAACCCGCCATGGTACGCAATGCAACGCCGGATTCCCCCCGGGGATCTATGAGGGTGTAATTCCTCCCTCCCCCCCTCCCCCTCCCCTCCCCTCCCCCCCGCCCCCCCCCCTCCCTCCCCCCCGCCTGCACCAGGTGGATATGGAGGACATTGGCGGCGCGGGGCCCCGGAGGGGCGGCAGGGCGGGGAAGGAGAAGACCCCTCAGACCGGCCCCTCGGCAACCGCGGGGGCGGAGGGCGGGGGCGGCGGGGGCCCGCCGGAGATGCTCAATCCGCTCATCCGCAGCAGCCTAACGAAGCAGGTGGGGTGTGTATGCATGTATGTATGTGGGGTCGTGGGGTTGGTTGTGGGGTATGCATTTGGTGCAACCCAAGAACCCCCCCACCGCCCGTGTCCCCTTTCCGTGGACCCGCACGAAACCCCCTTTCCCCCTCCCCCCCTTGACGGACACCTGGCATATGTACTACCGGATGCTCTCACTCTGCTGGTTCTGTATGTATGTGCGTCTGATATTAGAACTAGGGAGTTTCACCATCACCATCATCATCATCACCTTTGCCATCGTCACCATCAACATCATCACCATCATCAACATCATCAACATCAACATCATAATCATCAACATTATCATCGTCATCAGCAGCAGCATCAACCCCCCGGTCCCCCGCTCTCCCCCTCTTTTTCCCCCCCCCTTCAGGGCTACAAGCTCATTGGCAGCCACAGCGGAGTCAAGATGTGCAGGTGGACCAAGTCAATGCTCCGGGGGCGGGGGGGCTGCTACAAACACGCGTTTTACGGCATCGAGTCGCATCGCTGCATGGAGGCCACACCCTCCCTGGCGTGTGCGAACAAATGTGTGTTTTGCTGGCGACATCACTCCAACCCCGTGGGGAAGGTACGTGTGGCCCCCCGTGCCGGGCTCTGCTCATGCATGTGTCTCCGTATGTATATCTGCCTGTGTGTGTTATCTTCACAAACAACAAACCCACACATCACTTCATCGCGTAGGACTCCCTCCCTAAGGGCAGTTCCAAACTTTGGACACCTTCCGGCACTCCACTTCATGTCTCCTTATTTCCTCCTTGCAGCATTCATTCATGAGTACCCCCCTTTCACCCCTTGCCCCTGCACCCGCCCACCTCGCCCACCCGCCCCTCCAGACGTGGAAGTGGCGCATGGATGGTCCCCAGATGATTGTGGAGACTGCTCTGGATCTGCACACCCGCATGGTCCGGGAGTACTCCGGGGTGCCGGGGGTGAAGCAGGAGGCGGTGGCGGAGGGACTGCAGGTAGGGGGGGGGGAGGGAGAGCGGAGGGACTGCAGGTAGGGGGGAGGGGGGGAAAGACGAACCACACACGATTGAAGCTGCTGCCAGGGCAAGAGAGTAACAAACGGGAAAGGGGGAAGGGGAAGGGAGGGAGAGCGGAGGATGGGGAGGGAGGAAGAGGAGAGGAGAGGAGAGGGGAAAGGGATGAGCGAGTTTACACAAGGCGGAGGGGGGTGAGGAGGAGAGGGTGCATGGGACTGGGGTGGTTGGTTGCCTGTCGTGACAGCAGCTGCAACGCGGCGGGGGGGGAAAAGGGGGTCCGGTGTCTTTGCCTTCCTCCCCCCCCCCCTCCCGCTGTCTTCTCCGCTGCCGGAAGATTGCAAACGGGGTGTGACGTGCGTTTCTCTCGCCCCCCTTGCCCCTCGTG